TTCCTTCCTTCCTTCCTTCCTTCCTTCCTTCCTTCCTTCCTTCCTTCCTTCCTTCCTTCCTTCCTTGACATGGGCTCTCACTGGCCTGGGACTCTCCACACAGGCTAGGCTGGCTTTGCTATCACGCCCCTAGGATTTGCTTATCTCTGGCTTTTCAGTACCGGGATTCTATGTTTATGCTTCCACACCTGGCGTTTTATCTTTGGGTTCACGTGGGGATAAAGAAATGTCAGCCTCCTCCTTACAAGGTAAACATTTTACCAACTGAACCACTTCCACAGCCTCAACATGGGTGGCTGAACCTATGGCTTTCCACATACTGTGCCTTTGACTACAAACCTCTCCGGTAACGTGCAGCTGACTCACCCCACTTTGCTGCTAACACGTCTTGTTATCAGTTGGCCTCATTTGGCAGTAAAATGAACATTAATCGCACTCCTCTAAAAGAATGGCCCCCACCAGACGAGCAAACATGTTCTGATTCTACTTGGCATTTAGCATCATTAATGATCACTATGCTGAGATCAAAAGATACAGAATGAATAAGAGTAAGTGAAATAAAGAAAAAAAGGAGTTGATCCAGGAACAACAGCCCTGGAAACAGTATATTATTCATTCCCTAAACTTGTAGTGAGTGGTTTTTTCTTTTCTTTGCTTTTTTTTCCCCCGGTGTGTGTGTGTGTGTACTGGTTACTCATAATACAGAAATCAGTAAGGCACAGTCCATACCATTAGGGACTTTGGGAACTGCAGTTGAACTCTGAAGATAAGGAAAACACATCAAGAGTGACATCTGAGGTGAAAGTTGAGAAGCCACAAGCATTCTGGGAAAAGAAAAATGACTCTACGGACTCTCACAGACTCTCTGCTGTCTTAGTAGATGGTCGATCCCAGAGACTGCAGCTAAGTTTGAGGAAAGGGTTGCTGAGGACCAGGAAAGGACTGGAGAGGCAGTGAGGGGATGGGCTGACACTTCGTGACAGGGCTTGCGGGATGTGCTAGTGATGGAACATTTTTAATCTGAAGGCTGCTGGAGTTCTCCAGTCACGAGCAGCTGTGGCTCTTAGAACAAGATGTATTTGTCCAATAGGAGAAAGATAAAATGGGAGGTGGTGGTGTGGGCCTAGAGAATAACTGTAACAACAAAACAGTATCCAAGTAAGATGACGGAGACCCAAAGCAGAGCAACTGCAGAGGAACCCAGGGGCGCGGAGGGGGTTAACGTACAAAAATCTAAAAAGCTGTGTTGATACTGAATCCAGGCAGAGAGAACGCTGCCGGAAGAGTCGAATTTTGTGAACAGCTGAAGTGACTGGAGTGGGTGGATTAGAGATTAAAGAGATCATCTAGGAAAGTGGCTAGGGAAAGTGAAAGGATTCCTGAGTAGGGTAGACAACTACAGGAAGCTGGGGCACATGAGCTCTTCAGTACATGTGATTTCCTCCAAGCAGCCTTGAACAAATCAGAACATGACCAACAAGTAAAAGACAAATCACAAGACCTTCCTGGAATTATCAACAGCAACAGCAGCCGATGCACCACGTTGTCTAGGATGAAGATGTGTTTCTAAGGAACAATGGCTAGGAGCTCTGTAGAGTGAACGGTCATCTCTTGTAATGGTCACGACATAGATACTTGCACTCAGAGCGCGAGTCAAAATAAGTAAAACTATCAGAAATACAAAAACAGGGCAGAGTCAATCACAAGGTGAGAGTTTAGCAAATGAAAACCTAGGAATCAGTGGGCCAGTGAGATGGCTCAGTGGATAAAATCACTTGTCTTGCAAGCCTGGTGACCTGAGTTTGATTCCTGGAACCCACATAGAGATGGAAGGAGGGGACGGATGAAAAGTGCCCCCTACCTCCACGCAAGTGCCATGGCATAAGACCACCCCATCACACACACATGTACACACACACACACACACACACACACACACCACACACTAAAAAATAAAATTAAAAAATTAAAAGTGGGAGAGGTAAGTTAAACTTTCCAGCAGGAAGTTTTGCCTCTTGGCATACGACTAGACGAGCAAACAGGATTGCAGAGCACAGTTCCTTCTGGTGTCCTGACAGACAGACTTCATCGAGATGTCAAAGTCTTTGGCCCAGTGTATGCTGGGATCTGCAGTGACTGTATCTTCCACTGGGACAGAGCGAACCTAGAATGAACCTCTGCTCACACTGCCTGAAAGCGGGCTGCTGTCGCAGCGCCAGGGGTGCTTTGTCTAAGTAGTTCCAGTCTGCCACTTGCTTCCTTCTCTGCAGGAAACCACCATCCTAATTAGGTTTTGGAACACCCTTACAAGTGCGATAGTTTTTCTAAATCAACCATTCATTTATTCATTTTGAAATAGAAGTACCCTCAGCTACTTAAACTTGCAGTGAGCCTCCTAACTTTGACCACCAAATGCGGGGATTACAGACTGGTGCCACCATGCTAGGTTCTATGAGTGGTTTTGAAGATACATTTTCAGCCTGAAGCAGAAGTATCCATCCGAGGTATTAAGAAGACAAGACAGCACAAGTGATGATGGGATGGGCAGTAATAACAGAAACATGTCCACGAACTCATGCGCTATCATCAGCAGACACATATCAAAAGACAACCACCTTCACCCGTTCAGAGGAAGACAATCCAGTGGTGCGACAGTGGGAGACATGTATTTGCATTTGTCAACATTGTCAGCATTTGTCAGTACTGCCAGGATTAGCCACACTGCTAAAAATTCTTAGATGGTAGAATTTTGAACTTCGTATTTTTCTTTCTTTCTTTCTTTCTTTCTTTCTTTCTTTCTTTCTTTCTTTCTTTCTTTCTTTCTTTCTTTCTTTCTTTCTTCCTTCCTTCCTT